ACTTAAAAAAAGTTACAATTTATATTAAGTTCAATTTTGCGTATATTTTGCTTCAAAAACAAAGTGATATGACAATTATGACTAAGTCAAAATTGTTCTTAACGTGTTATAAGCTCTTACAAATTAAAACGTTGTCATAGTGAAGGAAATTAGAAAATGAATTCCATTATATACGGGGTGCATAGAAACTTGTTGAATACATTGTGTATACCTCCTAGTAATAATTCTTGAACGAATTCATTGAAAATGTGTTCTTTTATTACATTATTTTTTATTCTTATCTGTAAAAAATCGATAAACAAAATCCGTAAACAAAACAGGTATTTTGTTCAAACAAGACTCACAAGTTCAAGTTACACTGAAACAGAACGATAAACGTACATGTACACTCTTATAATCTTCAAATCGTTTATTATTTTTTTTATTCTTCAAAGTGTACTTTCTCATTATTTAAACCTATTATCTAGTTTTGCCCTTTTATTTAATAAATACTTTCCCGAAAGGACAGTCAGTGAATCAACATGAATATCAACTGAGATGTCATTAAAAAGCCATTAGTTCGGAATCGAACCCCAATCTATTTTTTTTTTTTTTTTTTTTTTTTTTTATTCTGACTATGACTACCAACTTCCGTCTACACTACAGTACGCCAATACTTAGCGTCAGGATTTTGTGCTATCAAGTATCATACACACGAGTCTCTGCAAAACATGTATTCAGACAAAGCCCAACACGAAAATATTGCAAAACCAGTATCAAAATGCAGAAGGAATATACTTACAGACGTTTACAGAATCAAAAACTCGGTTGAAACTTGCTAGTTTCGTTCAGCCATCAAACGACATGTTTAAGCCGCCATTGTTTCTGATAACGCTAAAGACTGGCCCCTAGTAACTCAATTTCTTAAGAAAGTGATAGGGACCACATTAGGTCCGGGTACCAGTACCAGACTCTATAAGTCACTTCGTGGAAAACTGACAGCGTTGTTTATGCGTTTCACGAAGTGACCTATCTCGATGCGTCAGTTCGTGAAATGATAATTTTTCATTTTGTAGAGATAGGTCATCATTTTTAATAAGCTGAATCAGCTTAATTAGCTAATTAGGCCACTTATGAATTTGAAATTTTCAGAAAATAAAGATTCATCATGCATAACCAGAATATGCTAAAAACCCAAATTCGTCAACAATTTAGATAGGTCAGATCGTGGTACGATTGACAAATTAACGATACATAATTTTGTCTGATTTTTTTTTTTGAAACTTGGCCGACAATTTATGGTTGAAATTCCCTTTTTGATTCCACATGAACATTCCACAGATTTATACAGCATGTACTGATACAAACTACGCTCTTCTATCAAATAAATTGCTTCTGGCTTGATACAACCATCAGAAATACATTACCGCCGTGCAGTTGGACTCTGACTAAGATTCACTAGCTCGGTTCACATTCGGGTTATTTTTCTCTCAAATGCTCAGGATTTCTTCTAGTCCTTTCTTTTTTCCTTTCTGACTTAAGGATTTTGGGGCAAAAAAAAAAATAAGAAAACAAAATCGCTTTCGTCCCGTGCGCAAGGGGCGAAGGAAATCCGAAGGGTCATTTCTGAACGAGTGCGGACTGTGTGTTTCGGGGTACCATCCACCAAATACCGGGCAATATCACGGTGGCGCGACTTAGACCGGCAATTTGGTGGACGGTGTCCCAAATCACACAGGTATTGTGCTTCACTTGTGTTGAAAGGAGCCCTGCTAATTTCCTTCGACCACGTTGCACGGTACGTAAGCAATATTTTGTAAGACTTTATTTTGTGCATCAAGAAAGAAAACACGATGAGGATGAATAGTATTTATGACGATTTGAAGAACTTTTCGAAAGAAAAAGGCTAGAAATCCTGGAATCCACAAAAAAATGACCTGAATTAAACCCCTGTTCATTTTCAATGCCTCATGACTTATTATGCGCATAATTATCATTAGTGAAAAGGCTCATTCTTGGATGGAACAAGTTTTATAATAGAAATGGTGGGGCGTGGCAAGCAAAGGAAATTTTCCTTTAACTTCCAAATTAAATTTAAAACAGGAATGTTGATACAACGTAAATATGAATTTGTGGGTATCTTCATTTCTAGAATAATTTCGGTTGAAATAAAATCATCCTGTTACACTCGACCTTTGTGATAAAAAACTACTTTCATTATATTCCGTTTTTGCTGAAACCAAATTCCGAACCTTATTGTTGCTGTTACTGCAATATTTCTGTTTACAGTGTCATCAGTAACCCGAAACAGAAGCTAAACATCTCTGTCCAGACTCCCGAAAATGCTAACGATGATGCTACACAGACGCTTAGCTTAAAACTGGATCCAGGGACATCCGTCCAATCTTTAAAAAATCTCATAGAAAAGCAAATTGGTGTTGAGGCGCGGCGTCAGCGTCTTTACACCAGGCGAAACTTTCAGGTTGGTATGTTTTAATGTACAATACAATTACATTTGAACGATACAAAGTTTGCGCAAAGTTGCATTTTGGAAATTGGAATGTAAATGACACACTATGGGGGAACTCGCACAAAATATACTCTATGTGGACTAACTGACCAAACTAAACTAAACTCAGGATCTTTGAAAGGAACGGTTGCGAGGAACCTGATTGAATATAGACATAGATACCGAATCTATCATGATGCTCAAGTATAAATCAAACTCTGGCTGAGTCGCCATGACACACCACATCATGGATCCTGAAACTCCTCTGGAGGTGCAATGCTACGGTAGGCGATCTGAGATGCAGGTTTAGGTGTCTCCTCGTCCTGCACCTCTGTTGAGATAGCCAATGGAGGTGAAATAAAGGAGGCTCGTAAGACCGCGAGTGTGTGGACAGCACGGCAAGCATGAATGTTTATTCTAGAACTTATCTGGGGTCAACTCCCCGGCGCGCATGCGCATACATGGATACATGAATATGCATATCACTACATCCCCCTTTTTGAAATATATAAACAAAACTAAGGTAGTTTAATACTCAAGTTGTATTATCGTTCAGTCCTTTCACAGTCGACTATCTCCTGGTAAGGTAGATATATGCTGGCATAAAGAATGCGGAGATGTATAATAACGTTCAAACGTGGTTTCCTTATTTCTAGAAGTCAAAACATATTTATTTTACATTGTATTGTGACTGTCCACTTAGACAACAAGAAAACTATAAACTTTTTTTTTTTTTTTTTTGTAAACAAAAAAAAATTGAAACACTTGTTATAAACACTAACTCTATGAAACCCTTGTTCGAGTCTGTTAACTTTCAACACTGGAGTAACTAAGAACTTGGTTTTAGATGTATCTGGCTGGCATTTTGGTGACACGACCAGATCTTGTAGTCTGTGGGGTTTGGAGAAAGGTACCGGTAGCCTTAGGTTTAGCTTTGGTTTGGCGAGATTTTTCCCCGTCAGTGGGTTTTCCATCCCGCTGTGCTTCTCTGTTTTGCTTGTTCTGGTCAGAACCTTGTCTCGGTGGGAATAGAACTCGCGGGGATTGTTCATCAAAATGAACGCGCTTAGCTTGCTTTGTTTGCCTGTGCGCCTCGCGCGGCTGAGGTTGCATTTCACGCAAATGTGATCGATTGCGCCTGAGAGTAGATCCATTTGGTGTTCTGACCTCATACGACCTAGGCTCTTTGCAAACTTTGGTTACTTCACCCGGAGTCCAAGACTTGTTCGGCTGGTCAAGAATACGGACTTTCTGTCCCACGTAGAGTGAAGGTAAGTCTGGACCAGCATGATTGTCATGATTGGCCTTCATTTCATCTCTGCGTGATGCCAGTCGGTCATTGACTTCCAGAGGTTTCTGGTAAGTCCCTGTAGGGTCCCTGCTGGGCAGTGTGGTGTGGGGCGGCCTTCCAAACAGTATTTCTGATGGAGAAGGTAAGTGAGCGTCGATTGGTGTTGCTCGGAGAAGAAGCATTGCCTTGTTGATGTCCTGTCCAGTTTCATGACACTTCTTCATCACGGACTTGACTGTCCTGACCGCTCGCTCTACCTTCCCATTCGATCGGGGGTACCTCGGTGATGAGGTAATGATGATAGATAGATAGATAGATAGATAGATATATGGTTTATTTTCATTTGACTTGATGTGGCAATCAAAGATTGAATTTGATCAAGTCAACAGATAAAAATGCTAATACAAATACATTAAATAAAATAAATTAAATTAAATTAAATTTAAAATAAACAAGTACTTTTACATTGAAAGGTCCACAAACTGTCTTAATCCAATAGTATCTCTGACATGCCAATCTTCATTATTTAAAAATTCCATTTTACAGATAAAAACAAATGTCATATGGTATCAGGTGTGATAAAAAATATACAGATATGTATGCAATAATTAAGAAATTTGACAAAGATAACGATAAAGATAACGAGAACAATGACAACAATTAACCACAATCACGACTATATAATGACAAGAATAACGATTAAGACAACGATAAGGACGACAAGAACCATAATCACACTAATGATGACAAAAGTAACAACGAATACAACAAGAACAGTATTGACTACAATGGAAACAATAACCACAATTTCCACAGTGACAACGAAGATATAACGAAGACAACAACAACAACGGTTACAGCTATAACGACAACCACAATCACCCCGATTTCCCTGCGATTCATCAGGATTTCCCTAAAAAGAATTGGGGTCTAGCAAGGAATAAAAACTGGTGAACTTCAAATCTAGCAATCATAAAATAAAAAAAAAAACACTGGAATTATTTAGAATTAATTAAGTCAATGAGGTAGGGTACTGCACTGTTCTTGAATCTATTTGTTCTATATTGCAACTGAGGAATACTGGAATTACGTAGAAATCTGCCATTTGTGGAGCGAGTGGGGATGATATTATTCAACTTGGAATTTGCTTTCAGATCTGTGGCAAATGTAAGACACAACTCAGTTCGTCTGCTACTCAAGGTGACCGACCATTCCTCACACTTATCTTGGTAAGCCTGCCCAACAAATTGTGGTCTGTTGTCTCCTTTGGTACACCGAAAAGGCTGAAGGTTGCTGCTGTTCGTTGAGCCACCGACGCACTGGATGTGTTGGACAGTTTGTGGATAACAGGGTATTTAGAGTGATAGTCCACAATGAGGAGATAGTTGTCTTTTTCCAACTCGAAGAGGTCTGTGCCCAGTTTCGTCCAAGGTGTGTTGGGTATCTCATGAGGTTGGAGTGGTTCATTTCTTTGACGAGTCTGGTGTTCATGGCATGCTTGACATGACTTGAAGAGTTGAGTGATGTTGTCATTGATGTTCGGCCGTCTTTGATGTTCGGCGTCTTTTCGATGCCAAGATGACCAACGTGGAGTTGGGTGAGTATGTCCTGTCGCATAACCTTAGGAATCAGAACTTGACGGCCCTTGAATATCACACCACAGGACAGTCCCAGCTCATCTCTGAATGGCCAGTATGGACGTAAGTCACGAGGCAACTCCTTGATTGAGTCAGGCCAACCGGTGTAGATGACCTTCTGTAGCTCTCTTAGAACAGGGTCTCGAGTTGTCTCATGCTGAAGAGCATCTTGCTTAGCCTTCCCAAAGTGAACCAAATCAAGTTGTTGAGTGGTTGTGTGCTGCCTCGCACTAAGGGAATCAAATGCAATGTCGAGGGGTATGTCATCATGATCAGACGGATTGGGGAGCCTGCTCAGGGCATCAGCAATTATCATGGTGCTGCCTGGTTTGTACTCCAAACTGAATTGATAGCCTTGAATCTTGATCAACAGCCTCTGTAGACGGGGTGGAGCACTGGTGAGGGGCTTGTTCCATATGGTCACTAGTGGTTTGTGGTCTGTGAGTACATGAAATCTGGAACCGAAAAGGTAAGTGTGGAACTTGGTCACACCAAACACCAGGGCAAGAGTTTCCCGTTCAATGTTGGAGTAGTTTGACTGGGATGACGACATACTTTTCGATGCATACGCAACAGGTTTGCCGTCTTGGATGAGGCACGCACCAAGGCCTTTCTGTGAAGCGTCAACCTCGAGGGTGGTTTCCATCTTGGGATCATAATACCGCAGACATGACTCGGCAGTGATGGAGTGCTGGAGTGCACGAAACGACGCCTGATGATCGTCCTGCCAGAGGAATGGAACATCCTTCCGGAGGAGGTCCCGCAAGGGAGCAGCCGTGTCTGCGCAGTTAGGAATGTGTGGAGACACAAAGTTGACGATACCGAGGAATCTCTGAAGGTCCTCTTTGTCTTGGGGAGTCGGCATGGCATGTATGTCTGCAACTCTGTCAGGATCAGGGCGAACTCCACTGTCCGAGTAGATGGAACCGAAGAATTGTATCTGGTTCGACTTGATACGACACTTGGCACTGTTGAAGACAAGCCCTTCTCGCTTGGCAGTCTCCATGAGGTTGAAGAGGTTGGCATCATGCTCACTCTCTGTACGCCCAAATACTGCAATGTCATCTGCAATACATACGCAGCCTGGTACCTGGCTGACAATGTCGTCCATACATTGTTGAAAAATGTCCTGGCTCACTGACAAACCAAACGGGAGTCGGCGGAAACAATATCGGCCAAATGGTGTCCGAAACGTTGTCAATTCCTGGGATGCATCATCTAAGTGGATCGACCAGTAACCCTCCTTCGCATCAAGTTTGGAAAAGAACTTCGCTTGCGAAAACGCAGGATTTAACTCCTCAAGCGTTGGAACCTTGTGAGGACATCGCTTCAAGTTGTCGTTAAGGCGTTTTGGATCTAGGCAAAGTCGGAGTGAACCGTCTTTCTTGACACTTGTCGTGAGGGAGCTACACCAATCAGTGTGGTGAGTGACTCTGCGGATGACACCATCGTGCTCCATCTTGTCTATTTCCACCTGGAGTTTTGGCTTGAGATGCACGCTGCATTCCCGAGGTGGATCGATACTGGGTTGAGCATCTTTCTTGAGATGAAGATGGGCACGTGTCTTGAAGTTGCCTAGGCTGTCAAATTGCGTAGGGTACGCCTGCTTCAGATCTTGTATTCCTTTTACAGGGGTGACAAATCCGACAGGTGGTATGGCTGGTGGGGCTGGTCGAGGTCGTGATGTTGGGAGTCCGCTGGGTGAAGAAGATACGGTGTGTATCGTCACCAGCTGGAGCTTCTGGCTCATGGGTAGGCCAGCCACAGCAGGACCTGGTACATCTACGACGTAGAATTTTTCGCGAGACCACTCACTCTCCTTGTATCTGCACATAAGATGCAGATAGCCATAGCATGTGATGTTTGGCCCGTTATATGCGGTCAGTTTTGTGCCAGTGGGGGAGGCGAGCGATTTCCAACGGTGTCCGTATATCTGCTTCATGGTGCGAACTGGTAGGGTGTTAGCACTCGCACCGGTGTCCACTTTGACCTTCAAGTAGTGCTTGCCAAGTCGATCTGGGCAGACAACATCAAGTGTTGTGAAGACTTCGTTATGTCTGTACTGATGTAGCGGAGTGACACACATATCAGACACGGTGATAGAGTTGAATGTGTCCCCAGCTTGGCTTGAGACGTCATCGTCGTCGGTGAAGAAGTCATGTTGCCCCTGCTGGTCATTCTTGAGGTCGTTCACCTTGGAAGTACCCCGGCTCGGCGATCTATTGCGAGAGCTGCGCGGTTTTGAGTTGCTACGCGATTTTGAGTTGCTACGCGATTGTTGGCGGCGCCAGTTTGGCGATTTGCTGCGCTGTTGGCCTTGCCCAGTTCGCTTCGATTTTCTGCAAAGCTTGGCCCAGTGACCTTTGCTACCGCAGGCTTTGCACGTGTCATGGTACACAGGACAGCTGCGGGGCTTGTGCGAAAGACCACAATTTTTGCAAGAGCGGCGTCCGCGTGCAGAATAGACAGTGTCTACAGATGCTGGTTCGTTCGCGGCTTTGCGTGCTGCAGTATCTGTGAGCGTTTCTAAATGTTGCTTGCCCGCTGCAACGGCTTCGTGCCTGCGTCCCTCTTCAAGCATCGCTGCAATTGGGTAGCCACGTGCTTTCTCGAGAAGGCTATTGCGTAACGCGTCTAAGAGAGTCGAGGCTATGACCAGTTCTACTACGCGTTCGTCTAGTTCTGCTTGCGCAAAATCACAATTCATCGCTTTTTCTTTACACCTGTTAACAAAATCGTCTAAGGTTTCATCGACTTTTTGTTTGTATCTCATTAACTCAAGCCTATGGATGCGGAAATTTATACTGATTTGCAACTGCTTCTCAAATAATGCCCACAGCTTTTCTGGTTCTTCTTGATCCGCTTCGGACAAGCCAGATGCATTGAGGCGCTTAAGGCCCTCAGTGCCTACAGCTATTTTGATTTCCACCGCCTGTTTGTCGGCTTGATTTACTTCATGATCCTTCAGGTATAACGTTAATCTCTGTTTGAATAGCTTGAACTCCTCAGCAACATTCTTAACTGACCAATTCATTTCTGGATATTTAGCCATGGTTGAGTGCACAATGACAATGTAATATAATAATATGATAAACAACAATTGTGCGAAACCTTCTGTGCTAAAACTTGGGCTAAACACCACTGAGATGGCTAAACATGTAAGAACAATATTACATGGGGGCAACAATACACTGATTTGAATTGTCAATAACCAAACTCATACATGTAAACAATAGCAATGAACACTGGTCAATTACTTGAATTAGGCTTTAAAAGTCTCAGTTCTGATGAGATGAAGTGGCTGAACAGTTCTTGTACGTCTTGCCTGGTACACTGTCCGTGAAAGTCAGGGTAGTAGTCAGGTAGTAGGGCAGATGAAGTCGCCTGGCAAGATGCTGGAGGTCCCAGATTGGAGATGCACTGGTACTGTGAACAGGTCGGGCAGGTACAGTTACAAGAAAACGACGAGCTGAATTTCTCACGAATAGGATGCAGCGCAACTGGATGGGCGCTGATAGTGATCGTGTCGGTCTGCAAACTGGACGCACGGCAGAATTTGCAAAATTAGCCGATGATGAGGTCCAGGTTTCTGCTGCTTTTCATCCCGTCTTGTCCCTTGAAACAGTCGGGACCGTCGCCGCTGGATGCTGTAAAGCCGGTCGGTAGATGACCAGTCTCCGGTAGAGCTCGATGGAGCCGTGGGGAATACAGCGATTATGGCGAACTCCAGAGTGTAGTGATGGGGTATAGGCGCTCACACTGTACGGTGAAACGTGTTGAATGTGCAGTGGGTATAGCACACGCACGTGAAATGTCGCGGCATGACCTCAGAAAAATCTGGGTCGGTTGCACGTTTTCACACCAAAATAAGCGGGAATCGGGAGGTCCAGATGCCCGAAAGTTGCCTCACTTGATGGTCAGATCAACACAGATGTCTATCTGGTTCTTTTTCACCGCTGTCACCATGTTGAGATAGCCAATGGAGGTGAAATAAAGGAGGCTCGTACGACGGCGAGTGTGTGGACAGCACGGCAAGCATGAATGGTTTATTCTAGAACTTATCTGGGGTCAACTCCCCGGCGCGCATGCGCATACATGGATACATGAATATGCATATCACTACACGCTCTACCTAAACTGCCGCATATAGCCCATAGTCTCGTTATGTCTAACCAGCTTGAGGATCTGATCATTTCCAAGTGCTTCCATGCTTTGATGAAGACTGCGATAACTGTCCTCCCTCATTCCTCGGGGAAGTACAAGGGCCAAAATAAAATCACAATATAAGCTAAGGGACCAACAATAACTAAAGAGCTAAATTACTTAAAACCAGAAACATACGACCGAAGACCAATAACCAGCTTAAACATGATAATAAACCCAAACCTAAAACTAAAGACAAAACCTAAAGCAATATTTAAGAAACCCGTAAAACCAACACAGTGTGTAATAATGGACCTTAAAAGTACGCTTTGACTGAAAATCTGTAAATAAGAAAATACAAAATACATAATAAGAAAACGATTTAATGAATATTCATTAACAGATACGCAAGCTCAAGTACAAAAGAAGTGGGAGACACTAATCCCCTAGTTTCCGGATTAGCACATCATAAAACCATGCATGCTTACTGTGGGAACAAAGAAACTCTTGTGTATTAACGCATATGGTCGAGAATTCAACACAATTTGATACATGTAATGCTTACAATATGTAAAAAGGAAAATATTAAAAAATCCCAAATCCAAGTCAAAGGTCAACCTTACTCAATAAAACTTCGTCAAAGATTAAAGTGACTGATTCAACTTTACTCTAATTATATAACCTAAAATATTTCCAAATGGAAAACATAAATTAAATTATAAAAAAAATAATTGCACATGATAAACAGAGGACACATTTATGACATAAGAAAACTCACCAAATGACTCCGAGCAGACAAAACTCAAGCAGAGCACACTCCAGTTAGGGGAAACATGGGAACTTTTATTTTAACAGGGGGACACACTACTAAGAAGGGGGGAATCTAAACTAAAACAAAAATGATTTTCTTTTTGCTAATGGGGGCTACTCCTTTTCCAACACTATAATACATAAACGTTTACAAGATAAACTTGACCTTGCAACACTAACACTTTATTTTTTCAATAATATATTTCGAAGGTAAATTTAGTAAACGTTTAAACAAGTCATTTACTTTAACAATTATCTACTATCAGCTCTGTGACTTACTCACCCTTGAGGAGAATGGTGTCGACAAGGATGAAATCATCTCTCTCCGTCTATCTGAAGACGATGAGAATTGCGACGAAGTACCAAAAGGTAAATGACCAAGTCCTGGATTAGAACATGTTTAAATGAATAAACTACATCCTATTGAGATTTTGGTATCTTTAGTAAGCCGTTTATAAAGAACGATAACCTTTGTTGTTGCAGCTGTTGAAAATGTTTTACTGAAGGCTTAGTTGGAAATTCTTTTGGCAGAGAAAGCCGCCATTGATGATGAGTACCTACAGGACTTGTCCTCGAAAATTAAATCATCATGGAAGGAACTGGCCAAACACCTAGGATATGAAGAAGCGGACATCCAAACCACCAACGAAGGCAGCACTGAAGAGAGCCGTCACATGCTACTCACTTGGTGGGAAAAGACGACAGATCGCGACGAAGCAGCTCAGAAGCTGAGACGAGCATTGGAGGCCATCGGGTTGACTGATTTGGCCCAAAATGTACCAGGTGAGCTAGAAGTGAACATTAGACTTTATATCAGACGCTGTATTGTCAGAACGAAAAACTGCATTGCTAATTAAAAGAAAAGTGCGAAATTAGTTAAAAATCATTTGTAACAATAATTATGATGCACTCCGATTCTTACTTGCATCAGTAACGGGCTATTCGAGAGACGAAGCAGCTGGACCCGAGCCAGAAAGTCGTCAAGAGGCAGGAGTAGACGAGGAGAGCAAACAAAATAGAGTGGCATCAACCGAGGAAGAGAAACTGAAAAGGGAACAAGTTGACGATCAAGACAAACCTCGGCCTATCTGGTAAAACATGATGAAATGTTGTTATACGTACTGCTCCCGTGTTTGAAGAATTTACTCAGCATCAAATGTTGTTATGAAGACAGCTAAAAGTCCTTGGAAAACAGTCTTTTCTCGCCTAAACAGTGGTGTAGATATAATGTGTACAATAATGGTTGATGATCTTTACATTCATTCATATAATTCAATGTGATTGAAATTATTCAAAGAGCCTTAACATGCAAATCCTCCCTTCTGACAGTTTCAGATATGTGCAAGTCTTCATTCAGTGCCACGTGTCACACAAAGCAAAAACACTTTGTTTTCGAATGAATGCAGAGACATCTGTCTTTACCTTGAAACATATGATTAACGAGAAAATCAGTGTCCAGCCTCAACAACAACGACTGTACATCCGAAGGAACTTTCGTAACTTTGAGGTAAAGATGGCTCCATATTTTACAAAGTAAACATGTCGTAAAGTATACCAATCAACCTTTGATCAAATTAAAGGCAATGCATCGTGGGTTTTAGTCACAATCTCTTCGGTTTGAAAATAACTTGAGGGTATATTAAATAGTGCTGCTTCTGATGTCAGTACATAGAGTAGTTTGAGTAGAAACTCAATCAGTAGAAACAATCAACAATTAGTTTTTTGTTTTAACCCCAATGAATTAGTTTCGCAATAAAAAAAGTCAAGTTTATCATTAATCATTTTTTACCCGTGTTTTGTAATCCCAACCACCAAAGTGTCGTTTTAAAAACATTGGTTCCAAAGACTGTGCGTTATATTAGACTCGGAAACATTGTTTTCCAGCTCTGTAACTTGCTGACACTTCACGACTGTGGAATTCATCAGGACGAGAACATCTCACTCCGTCTGTCTACTGATGGCCTACTGGGCGGTGGACCAACAGGTAAATGCTCATGGGAAATGTTTCCACACGGGAAAAAACCTACGGGCCTTATTACAATTTAGCTGGGTATGCCACATCCGCCTCTCTAACTAGATTCATTACACGGAAAAACAAACGGCACAGGCAACTTTTCCAAATGCCTCCTGGAAAGTGCAGTTATGAAAGTATGATCGACGCTCTATCCTCTATTTTTGTCAACATGGTGAGTAGCAGTGGTGCAAGTACTTGTAGTTAAAGAGCGAGATATATTAATATGCTGTACCGCCTCCTCCGCTGTAATTTCTCACCATTTCCCAGCATTTGCTACCCACTTCATAAGAGATAAAACCAAACATAGAAAATAAATCAGATATTTAAACCGTCAGCAGAAATCACATTAATATTTTTTTTACTTCAACTAAAGTGAAAAGTTCATTGCCTTTCATTAGGAAATGGCAGCTATCAATCACATACTCATATATACGTCTTTAGGTTTAAGTAAAAAGGCTTCTTTTTGTTTGGCAGACAAACACCTTGCTGATGATCAATTCTTCCGGGACTTGGCTTCGAAAACTGAATCATGCTGGGAAGAATTGGCCAAATCCCTGAGATATGAAGATGCAGCAATCAAGCAATTCCAAACCACCTCCCAAGAAAACACAGAAAGGAGCCTACAGATGCTGCGTTCTTGGTGGGGAAAGCAAACAAATCGCGAGGAAGGATTTCAGAGTTTGAGAGACGCATTAAATTCAATTGGGCGTGCTGAACTGGCCTCGATGATCCCATCAGAAAAGCAACAGAGGATGAAACAGGAGGAACTTGGTCATCTAGACAAACCTCAACCATCGGTACAAACGGAAGAAACTCGAGAACACAATACACAGAAAGGGACTACATCGTCTGAGGGACAGAGACTAGAACAGGAGGAAGTTGCCGATCAAGGAAAACGTAAGACAAATGTACAACTGGGAGGGGCTATGAAACATCGCAGGCAGAAAGAGACTACATCATCTCAGGGACAGGGACAAAGACAGGAGGAAGTTGCTGAACAAGGACAACCTCAGATACATGTACAAGGAGAAATTGCTCAAGAACAGGGTAAACAGAAGCGGACAAAACCAGCTAATGAGGAACAGAGACCGAGTCAGGAGCTTTCGCCAAAAAAACAGAAACTAGGGGAATTCGAGAAGAACGTTCAACAGAGGACGACGTCAGAACAGCAGAAAGGTACTACATCATTCCATGGACAAAGACCAGGACTGGAGGAAGTTGTTCATCGAGACAAAGCTCAATCATTTGGAGAAGTGGGAGGGGCTAAAGACCAGAGCAGTCAAGAAGGGACTACATTAACTGAGGACCAGACACCGAGACAGGGTGCAGTTAGTCATCGAGACAAACCTCAATCAGAGCTACAAGTGAGAGAGGCCAAAGAACGGAGCAGGCAGAAAGAGACTACGACATCTGAGGGGCAGAGACCGAGACGGGAGGAAGTTGGTCATCGAGACAAACTGCAACCAGAGGTACAAGTGGAAGGGGCCACAGAACGGAGCATGCAGGAAGAGACTACGACATCTGAGGGGCAGAGACCAAGACAGGACGTTGGTCATCAAGACACACTGCAACCAGAGGTACAAGTGGGAGGGTCTGAAGAACAGAGCAAGCAGAAAGGGACTACATCATCTAAGGGACAGAGACCGAGAAAGAAGGACGTTGGTCATTCAGCCAAATCTAAACCTGAGGCTCACGTGGGGTTGACTGAGACAGAAAGCAAGTCAGGTAAATAATTGCAAAGAATCTAATATGCCGTACACTGTCTTGCCTTCTATTTTCATTTTTCTCTCTCTGTATTATAAGGTTTCAACTTATGTCAAAGATGAACTGTTAATGTTTTTTTTTAATTTTCTCTTTTTCTCAAAACAAAAAATGTTATAACTCCTTTATTTATAGGTTCTGCGGCTGTTAACCTCTAATTCTGGATATATTTAGCGCGTGACCATATCTTGTCAGCGTGTAGACTTGTTCTAAAAGCCTTCATTATCGAGACTGTAAAAGTGGCGGGAAACAAATTTATCTTCTACGGGCTAGCATTATTCGAAAGCCTGCCTGCACAAATCAGGCGATTGAACTCATATGTCGTGATTGGAAATAACTAAATATTTTGTAGTTCAGATTCCACGGCCAAACCCATGGCATCAGTGATCGCAATGTTGCAATTTGTCCAGGAAGTTTGACATTTTTCTTTTTGTCCCCAAAATGAATTTTCGTTTATGAATTGTAAATTATCAAGTCCTACTGATCGATAACAATAAATTACACCTTTTCACCATTTTTTGTTTGGATCTGGATATTTATTAAAAAGGAAAGGTGAAGTCCGACAGCCACAACGTTACTAACTAACGCATGCACATTATGATAATTTACTATTATGACTTAACATTTGTGAAGTAATTTATTCTAAATAGATATGAGTGGGATTTTTTCAATGATTCATTCAAAAATAAAAATAAAAAGTTAACATAGTTTAATTGCTATAAAATAGAAATTCGGAAATAAAACATGATGTAGACGCAAATTTAATGCCACAAACTGGCATCATTGTCAAACAGTTGGAACGTATAACAACCGCTTTACTTTTACGGATGTCCACATAATGTAAACGCAGTCCTTCACAATGTAAGTAAACTGCACTCGCTTTAGTAATGGTGCGACTATATTTTATTCATTGATAGATACTCTACCTGACGACAAATCTATTTGGGATCAATCTAAGAAGATTGGAACACAATGGGAAGAATTGGCCTTAAACCTGAAATTTTCTAAAGAACATATTAAAATAATTAAGGCTGATCATCCCTACGATACTGTAAGGCAGTGCTTTGAGATGTTAAGCACATGGTGGAGGAAGCAGAACAATTACAACGAAGCATGGCAGACGTTGGATACGGCTATGGTTGATTCGGGCAGAAGCGACTTGGATCGGGGCACATCAGGTAGGCCTATGCACATGCAGTAACTTTAGAAAGATTGGCAAATCGTACACTTACATTAATTACGCTTTAAATGGTTTATGCAATGTAATTTCAGAATGCTGTCCTTCATAATGCACTTTTGTGTACCATTTTACGTTATTTTTAATTTTTGTTTTGCCATTTCGAAAAGTATCATGGTGCAGTAACCTCAATGTTAGAGCTATTTCAGCAGAAGAAGTTTATAATCTTAGATATTTCGTAGTCATCAATTTTCTTTTCTATGATAATTCGTTGTTGTGTTAGTACATGGCAGTAAACTAATGAGCAACACCTCACAAATGTTTTCAATGAGGACAGTTTGGGTGTACAATATTTGAACAGTGGGATGCACCTATTAATTATTTATTTGCAGGATCTTACGATTTGGACAAGAAAATTGAGTGTGGATTCGTTTCGACCAGATTTTTTAAATTCTTTTCTTTCACCTTTTTTGGGGTAGGGGGAGGGCACCGAGAAAATGGGGGGGGGGGAGGGAGGCGGCGGCAAAGGAATTGAAAAAAATGACCAGTATAAAAACAATTCAAATCTGACGCATTTATTCCTTTTTAGTCATACAAAACAGAGTAAACACGTATAATAGAAAGTAAAAAGTGAATACTTTCAGATTATTGCAAGTGCGTCTTAGAAAAACCATCTGCTTCCATATATTCATAGAGATGCGAGTAAATACTCAAAAAAAATGGTACAGCGAAAGCAAATGGTAGTTTTATTCATACGAGCAGAGGACAGACGGTATGGTTTTTTTATCCGTCATTTTGTCTTATAACATAATGGAACAACAAAGAAAAAAGTGGCCCGAATGAGAAAGTTAAATAATCATAGTGGAGCCAATCTGCATTTTGACGTAAATCAAAGATTAATTTCTTCGTTTGATTTTTAGAGCGACGTCGTGACTCACAGAGCCAGGGAGACGACAGTGCACAAGGGATACAAACAAGCATGCCTACAGCTCCAGCAGGTAAATCCACACACAAATCACTTATTGAAAACTTTCCTTGGCAATTTGCACCTTTCACCTTTAATAATAAGAATGCGCCTATCAGTTAGCGTAATACATTTTCATGAGAAGAATTAATTTTTCTTTTATGAACAGAGAAGTCACAAGAACTTTTGTATCCCTCTAAAAAAAGAATAGTATACAAAAAAAACCTAACGTAAAGAGGTTGTACGAGTTGTGAAAACAACTAATTTCCCTTTCATAGTTAAAGCTATTTTACGATTAGCTTTGAGAGGATTTCGTATTGTTGATTCCCCAAAATAGGTATCATCACAGTTGTTTCCTTGTTGTGAATTAGCACAAATTATAAAAACCGGACTCATTTGATTTGATAAGAATCCGAATACAGCCTGGGTTATCGAATTCTTTTCGGCGAATGAAAAAAAGCAACAACGAATTTCGAACCCAACTGTCGCTTTGATTGACTGACATGATTTGTTTCAAATTGTGTTGTATTACTTTTCCTATGAGAAACGAGTGGGTCAAGTGCAAGGCAACAACAGCCAGGTAGCAGTACGACACAGGAGACTCGTGATGATCCAGCTCAGCTTGCTGCGGATAAGTGCGAAGAGGATTTGAAATATAAATATACAACGACGGGTAGCTATGTGCAGATGCTTCCATGGGTTGATGACAACAAAAGACATATCATGGACATCTACACAAAGCTACAATTAGAAAAGGGTGGTAATGACTTGAAGGGAGAGGTCAATTCGTATTTGGATATCTTCAAACTCATATCAAGAGAGGGACATCCAGTTATACGGGCAATTTTAAGAGGAACTGCTGGTGTAGGGAAAACCACTCTTATTGACAAAATTGCTTATGATTGGGCTTGTGGCACTGTTGACGTACTAAAAAGGTATAAGCTTGTTTTTGTGTTGAAAATGCGATCCCTGCAACAAAAGTCGGATGTGATTGAAGCGGTGTTTGATCAGTTACCAAACGAAAATATCATAAATAGGGAAGAGTTGAAATCCTTCATTACAGCCAACCCTGAGGACGTGCTGTTTCTGTTGGATGGTTTTGATGAATTCAAGTCCATCAAACATAATGAGGAGTTCGGTTCGATCTTTAAAATGCTGAATCGAAAGGGAGATTACGAAAAATGCACTGTGTTTGTGACAACCCGCCCCTCACACTATGACAAACTGGTAAAAAACACTTTGATTGAAAATCCGTTTGCTCTTGTGAATGTGTTGGGGTTTAGCAAGGGCGATATTCAGGAATATGTACACAAATTTTACTCGGAAGAACAATCCAAAGCTGATGGGCTTCTTGAGAGGATTTGGTCCTCGACTGTTTTATCGGATTTGGCAACAAGTCCCATGTTGTTGTTGCTGATGTGTCTGTTATGGAGTGAGAGTGCTACACTCCCTGACACCATGTTCCGTCTTTATAATGAGGCACTGCGTTACATATTTAAACGTAAGACACAAATGTCAACAGAAGAGATATCGAGACTTATTATTGCAATTGGGAAGGTTGGTTTGGATGGTCTACTTTCGTCTGATCAAAAGCTATCATTTCAAGAGGAGGATTTTGAGCCGGGTGTGCTTGATATGGCCATACGAGCTGGCATCCTCACCAGCCAGCGAGTCTGTAAGGGGATCGACACTTGCAAAAGTGTTTATTTCATCCATAAGACGTTTCAAGAATATTGCGCTGCGGTATACTATCAAAGCGTAACATCGAATAAAGAAACGAATCAGTTTAAAACGTTCTTTCGTGAAGTGTCTGATACAGCAGGGTTTGAATATCTTCTGCGTTTTTGTTGCGGTGACAACGATGGGTCAAGTACATATTTCATTTTGAACATTTTATGGCATAAAGTCGGACGTGCAGGAGATCTGGATGATAACAACTTACAAATAGCTCTGAATTGCTACTTTGAAAGCCAGAGCCAGACATTGCCACCATGGCCGTTAATTAATTCTGTTATTGATCCAGAACTCATTGCTAACGAAGATTTAAGCCGCGATCATTCGACATCGTTGATGTACTTCCTAAAAAACGTTACTGACGAGAAAAAGGGTGGAGGGAACGCTTGCCTCGAAAAGATACATTCATTAAAGATGCCAGAATCAACCTTTCGAAGGTTAGGTTTAGATTTTGTGAATCATGTGAATAGAATGGCAAGTCTGCATAGCATTATTGTTACTGGCCGTTTAATGCTTACACAGGAATCTCGGATCGACTTGGCAAGTTTAATATCCTCTATACGCCTGAAAGAAATGACACAGCTTAAAAAAGTGCGTTTAAGGCGATGCGTCCCGACAAGGAGTGACATGGAGCACATTATCGGGGAACTGAGTAAACTGCCCAACCTTGTTGATTTGGATCTGTCTAACAATGATACCCTTGCTGGGTCTGATCGGGCATGGTCTCTTTTAAGGGAAATTAAAACCCTCAACAAACTAGACCTGGGTTACTGCAGATTGAGAAGTGATGACGTGGAGCGCATTGCCGTTGGGCTGAGTTATCTACCCAACCTTGTTGAATTGGATCTGTCTAACAATGATACCCTTGCTGGGTGTGATCGGGCATGGTCTCACTTAAGGGAAATTAAAACCCTCAACAAACTAGACCTGGGTTACTGCAGATTGGGAAGTTATGACGTGGAGCACATTACCGTTGGGCTGAGTTATCTGCTCAACCTTGTTAAACTGGATCTGTCTCACAATGAAACCCTTGCTGGGTCAGGTCGGGCATGGTCTCACTTGAGGGAAATCAAAACCCTCAACAAACTGAACCTGAGATACTGCGGATTGAAAAGTGATGACTTGGAGCCCATTGCTATTGGGCTGAGTAATCTTCCTAAACTTGTTGATTTTGATCTGTCTCACAATGAGACACTTGCTGGATCATGTCGGGCATGGTCTCACTTGAGGGAAATCAAAACTCTCAACAAACTGAACCTGAGATACTGCGAACTGGGAAGTGATGACTTGGAGCCCATTGCCGTTGGGCTGAGTAATCTGTTCAACCTTGTTGAATTGGATCTGTCTGACAATGAGACCCTTGCTGGATCAGGTCGGTCATGGTCTCACTTGAGTCAAATCAAAACCCTCAACAAACTGAACCTGAGATACTGCGAATTGGGAAGTGATGACTTGGAGCCCATTGCTGTTGTGCTGAGTTATCTGCCCAACCTTGTTCAATTGGATCTGTCTGACTGTGAGACACTTGCTGGATCATGTCGGGCATGGATTAACTTAAAGGAAATTAAAACCCTTAACAAACTAAACCTGAGTAGCTGCGAATTGAAAAGTGATGACTTTGAGCACATTGCCGATGGGCTGAGTGATATGCCCAACTTTATTGAATTGGATCTGTCTTGCAATGAGACCCTTTTTGGGTCATGGTCTCACTTGAGAAAACTCAAAACCCTCAACAAACTGGATTTGAGTAACTGTGCATTGGGAAGTGATGACTTAAAGCCCATTGCCGATGGGCTGAGTTATCTTCCCAAACTTGTTGAATTAGATCTGTCTGACAATAAGGCCCTTGCTGGGTCTAATCAGTCATGGTCTCACTTAAGAGGCATTAAAACCCTCAGCAAACTGAACCTGAGAGGCTGCAAATTAAACTGTTTTGACTTGGAGTTCATTGCGGTTTGGCTGCGTATACTTCCCAACCTTGATGAATTGGACCTGTCTAGCAATCAGACCCTTGCTTGGTCAGGTCAGGCATGGTCTCACTTGAGGGAAATCAAAACCCTCAACAAACTAGACCTGAAAAGATGCGGATTGACAAGTGGTGACTTGGAGCCCATTGCCGTTTGGCTGAGTAATCTGCCCAACCTTGTTGAATTGGATCTGTCTCACAATGAGACCCTTGCTCTGTCAGGTTTGTCATGGCATCACTTGATGAAAATCCAAACCCTAAACAAACTGGACTTGAGAAGCTGCGGACTGAAAAGTGATGACTTGGAGCACATTGCCAATGGGCTGAGGTTTCTGCCCAATCTTGTTGAATTGGATCTGCATGGCAATGAGACCCTTGCTGTGTCTGGTCGGGCATGGTCTCACTTGGGGAAAATCGAAACCCTAAACAAACTGGACTTGAGATGCTGCAGACTGCAAAGTGATGACTTGGAGTACGTTGCCGTTGGGCTGAGTAATCTGCCCAACCTTGTTGAATTGGATCTGTCTCACAATGAGGCCCTTGCTGTGTCAGGTCGGTCATGGTCTCACTTAAGGGGAATCAAAACCCTCAACAAACTTAGCCTGGGTTACTGCGGATTGCAAAGTGGTGACTTGGAGCCCTTTGCCATTGGGCTGAGTGATCTACCCAAACTTGTTGAATTGGATCTGTCTGGCAATAGCACCCTTGCTGGGTCTGATCGGTCATGGTATCACTTGAGGGAAATCAAAACCCTAAACAAACTGGACTTGAGATGCTGCAGACTGCAAAGTGATGACTTGGAGTACATTGCCGTTGGGCTGAGTAATCTGTCCAACCTTGTTGAATTGGATATGTCTTGCAATGAGACCCTTGCTGGGTCTGGTTGGGCATGGTCTCACTTGAGGGAAATTAAAACCCTCAAAAAACTGAACCTGGGTTACTGCGGATTGCAAAGTGGTGACTTGGAGCCCTTTGCCATTGGGCTGAGTGATCTACCCAAACTTGTTGAATTGGATCTGTCTGGCAATCAGACCCTTGATTGGTCAGGTCGGGCATGGTCTCACTGGAGGGAAATCAAAACCCTAAACAAACTGAACTTGAGAAGCTGCGGACTGAAAAATGATGACTTGGAGCACGTTGCCGTTGGGCTGAGTAATCTGCCCAACCTTGTTGAATTGGATATGTCTTGCAATGAGACCCTTGCTGGGTCTGGTTGGGCATGGTCTCACTTGAGGGAAAGTAAAACCCTCAACAAACTGAACCTCGGTTACTGCGGATTGCAAAGTGGTGACTTGGAGCCCTTTGCCAATGGGCTGAGTGATCTACCCAAACTTGTTGAATTGGATCTGTCTGGCAATAACACCCTTGCTGGGTCTGATCGGTCATGGTATCACTTGAGGGAAATCAAAACCCTAAACAAACTGGACTTGAGAAGCTGCGGACTGAAAAGTGATGACTTGGAGCACATTGCGGTTGGGCTGAGTAATCTGCCAAACCTCGTTGAATTGGATCTGTCTTGCAATGAGACCCTTGCTGGGTCTGGTTGGGCATGGTCTCACTTGAGGAAAATCAAAACCCTAAACAAACTGAACCTGGGTTACTGCGGATTGCAAAGTGGTGACATTGAGCCCTTTGCCAATGGGCTGAGTGATCTACCCAAACTTGTTGAATTGGATCTGTCTGGCAATAGCACCCTTGCTGGGTCTGATCGGTCATGGTATCACTTGAGGAAAATCAAAACCCTAAACAAACTCGACTTGAGAAACTGCGGACTTAAAAGTGATGACTTGGAGCACATTGCCGGTGGGCTGAGTAATCTGCCCAACCTTGAATTGGATCTGTCATGCAATGAGACCCTTGCTGGGTCTGGTTGGGCATGGTCTCACTTGAGGGAAATTAAAACCATCAACAAACTGAACCTGGGTTTCTGCAAATTGGGAAGTGATGACTTGAAGCCCATTGCCGTTGGGCTGAGTGATCTACCCAAACTTGTTGAATTGGATCTGTCTGGCAATAGTACCCTTGCTGGGTCTGGTTGGGCATGGTCTCACTTGAGGGAAAATAAAACCCTCAAAAAACTGAACCTTGGTTACTGCGGATTGCAAAGTGGTGACTTGGAGCCCTTTGCCATTGGGCTGAGTGATCTACCCAAACTTGTTGAATTGGATCTGTCTGGCAATCGGACCCTTGATTGGTCAGGTCGGGCATGGTCTCACTTGAGGGAAATCAAAACCCTAAACAAACTGAACTTGAGAAGCTGCGGACTGAAAAGTGATGACTTGGAGCACATTGCCGTTGGGCTGAGTAATCTGCCCAAACTTGTTGAATTGGATCTGTCTGGCAATAGTACCCTTGCTGGGTCTGATTGGGCATGGTCTCACTTAAGGGACATTAAAACTCTCAACAAACTGAACCTGGGTTGCTGCAAATTGGAAAGTGATGACTTGAAGCACATTGCCGTTGGGCTGAGTGATCTACCCAGACTTGTTGAATTGGATCTGTCTTGCAATGAGACCCTTGCTGGATCTGGTCGGTCATGGTTTCACTTGGGGGAAATTGAATCCCTCAACAAGCTATACCTGAGAAGCTGCAAATTGGAAAGTGTTGACTTGGAGCACGTTGCCTTGCTGGGTCTGATCGGTCATGGTATCACTTGAGGGAAATCAAAACCCTAAACAAACTGGACTTGAGAAGCTGCAGACTGAAAAGTGATGACTTGGAGCACATTGCCGTTGGGCTGAGTAATCTGCCCAACCTTGTTGAATTGGATCTGTCTTGCAGTGAGACCCGTGCTGGGTCTGGTCGGGCATGGTCTCACTTGAGGAAAATTAAAACCCTCAACAAACTGAACCTGGGTTACTGCGGATTGCAAAGTGGTGACTTGGAGCCCTTTGCCATTGGGCTGAGTGATCTACCCAGACTTGTTGAATTGGGTCTGTCTTGCAATGAGACCCTTGCTGGGTCTGGTCGGTTATGGTCTCACTTGGGGGAAATTGAATTCCTCAACAAGCTGTACCTGAGAAGCTGCAAATTGGAAAGTGTTGACTTGGAGCACGTTGCCATGGGGCTGAGTAATCTGCCCAATCTTGTTGAATTGGATCTGTCTATCAATGAGACCCTTGCTGGCTTTGGTCATTCATGGTCTGTCCTGGCAAAAATGAAACATCTTCGAAAGCTTTCTTTTGGATTCTACTTTTTTACCGCTGACAATAAGACACAAATCACCGAAGTAGTGGGTCAAATGACCAACTTGGAAGTGGAATATTAGTTTCAGCCATAATGCGCTCAGTAGATGCAGCAGTTGAAACTGTCAGGAGTGTCTGCCGCGCGCATTGTGCGTTCACATTTACTTAGCGATGACCAGTGGGGGGCGTGGGGGGCGACAGCCCCCCATAAAACAGTGTCGCCCCCAGTCGCCCCCCCCCCCCCCCCCCCTGAGTTTTTTTTTCTAAAAAAATTATCATTGATCTACATGACGTCCCCCCCCCCCAATGAAATGTTCCCCCCCCCCTGAAAAATTCCTGGCTACACCATTGGCGATGACGTTATCTAGTGACTTGGCGTCCGCAATGAACGTTATAGAAATGACTTCCTCATCCAGACATTTTACCTTGTTTGTGTACACAGCAGTTTACACAACAGGTTGCTAGGTTCATATCGTACGCAACCGTTTGATTTATACCCAGCCAAAAAACAGTGTCTTACAATATCTCTTTCACAGTTCTATTTACAGTAGAAAATACAAAAAATAACTACAAACACATATTGCATACAAAGCACGAGAATGTCAGATTAAACACAAATCAATCCAAGACACTATCAGCATAATTATGAATGGTTTTTACTTGATACATGAAATCATTCTACTCCCACAAAAAAAATAGAGCTTTGTCGTCCGGAAAAATTGGCCTTCGAAATTGAGGACGTTTTCCCAGTCAATTTAGCAATTTGATCATGCCGTTATCTCAAATAGCTGCTGGACAATTTTGTGACCGAAATCGGATCAAGCAACCACTGAATTTGTAAGATTCACTATTTTTGTTCAGTATAGAAAGTAAAGTGCTTTAGTGTTCCTCCACTAACTTTCCCTCCAATTTTGGCCCGTATATTCAAAGGACTTGTTTTTAATAAGAAGACATAGACCGCTTTTTTGCGGAGCAAATTCCATCATAAACATTTTTTTAAAGTCTCACCAGGAGCACCCTTGCATCTAGGATGGTTAAAAAATAGGTGATTTATACATAGTTTTTAAATAGGGCCTATGAGAAGAACAGGGATGACAAGCATTTTCCAGAAATCAAATATCGTGAAAGTCTTAAGAAACCCAGAATTCAAATCCTCGCCTCACACTCAAATATAATAGCTTTTAAAACCTGAGCTTAGGGCTAAAAGGCTTGATCTTCAATGCAATATTTGACGGCGGACAGCCATGGAGTATTTTGGGGGCAGGGAGGGAGGGGCGGGGAACGAGGTCTGCGTTTGTTTAAAACGTATGACAGGCACATATCGGCCAAGGTAATTTAAAATAGACTGAAACAACATGATGTCACTCTTTGTTTACACTCTGGAAAAATACTGGTCATTTTTGACGAACAAATAGTCAAATTTGCGCCCAGCTGACTCCCTCTGTAGTCAACTTTTGAAAGATGAGCAACCCACAAGCAAAACCACACCCGACGTGAGCTTGGATGAATACACAGAGTCGATCTAAGTTTTCGCCCATAATTGGATGACCCTCTTCAATAATGCATTACAGAAGTGTAAACAATTACTTTTCTGTTGTTAATTTTCTTTCGTATATGGTCTACCTGTATTTTGTGGTATGAGAAAAATATCACTTTGTATCTCGAAGCAGTTGCAGTGTCTCTGTATATAATATGAATCAATATGTATATATCAATGACTATAAAGGTTATAGCTTTTGTATTCAACTGTGTATGTAATATAATGTATATTTGTATTTCTGATAAATTGAACATCAAGTTCCATCACAAAGAAGATTTTAAAGTGAGAGTATTGAAACTGTAATTAGTCGTGATTAATAACGTATGTTCATGGAACATGATAACTACGGTTTTTTTTTTTAAGTAAAGTAATGTTTGAAGCAAATGATAGTTTGGTTATAACAGGGAACGAAAACTGTTCCATTGGAAGGAAGTTTCCGAGAATACCATGCACTTTCGATTCCAGTATTCATTCTCGGACTCAGTTTACGAGTAACGCGATACTTAGACTTGGCGAGGGAGGGATATCTCCAGAACTCCTTGTTTGGTTTAGTCACTCACAAGTCCACACAAGTCAAATCACATGTCAAATTTACAAGTCAAATCGCATGTCAGATCACAACATGATGAACGATGTCAAACGAATGCCTTCAGTCACGGCTCATTAGCTTGTGACTTGACTTGAGACTGGATGACTTGTGATTGGCTTGTGATGACTTTGTGACTGACTCAATTACAGCTCTATGAATTAATGAGTGAATTCCCGTTGAGATGCGTGGCCAAGACACTCGAGGGCGGTAATCAAAAGAAAACGAATATTCAAGAGCTCGTATAACATTTCATACTGACTAAAGTTTCTTGCAAATGAGTTTCCCAAGCCTTGGCCTCGTCTCGGCTGCGGCTCAGTCTCAAGTCTCGTGGTTAAGGGCACTGATTCGTGGTCTGTGGGTAAAGCTGCAGGTTGTGGATTCGAGTCCTGGCTGGGTCTTGGTGCGTGTGCCCTTGGGCAAGGCACTTTGTCACTCATTGTTTCTCTTCACCCAGGAGTAAATGGGTACCTGTGAGGGCAGAGATGGTTATTGTGATTGAATTAGCTTCCTTGCGCATAACAGGCTGCATCGAGCTGTATACTCCCCAGGGAGCTGAGATGGTATTTGGAATGTTTCATGTGCCCAATGAGCAGGGGTAATAATGATGTAGCGCCTTGAGCACCAGTCCTGGTGGATACGTGCGCTTTATAAATATCCACTATTATTATTATGTCAACATAGGACCCAATTGTGTGGCCTTCAATTAACGGAAATCAAAACACTCTCATCTTTGGCTTAATATCATTTTTTTTTTCATTTTCATTTGTTTTTATTCCAACTTGGAACACACCCCTTAACCCCGGGGAGGGTCACTTCAACATGTTGAACCTGAATATTTAAATGTACATTGGCAGGAGAAAGCAAAGAATCAAGAGCAATAATAATATGAATTCTAACATCATATAATTTGATATCCCTGTAGCTATTTAGCAAATATCTCCAAAGTCAGGGATTTAAAAAAAAACATCAGGCAAAGCGGAAGAGGGAGGCGAAGCCAAAATTCATACAAACCACATTAGTAATTATTAATAAAGATGTGGTGAATGGATCAGTATAATTTGTACATTTAGCTGTTGATCCATTTTCAGTTTTAAAGTATAATTTAGTTTCCGGATATTTTAGGCTGTTGAATGTGAAAACGAGAAAAAATTACTGCGTGACATCCTGGGTATGGCACTCAAAGTATCCAAAGGAATGGATTCATGACTTGATTTCTGAATGTAAACTAAGCTCTCTTTCGAACAATAATAACAACACAATGACGTCATTTGTTAGTTTAAATTCTCTTCAAACTGTGATGTGTAACTATAGTTACATATATGTGTGATCCTGGCTAAGCTTCAAACTTGTAGAACTTTTCATGTAACAAAATAAACAAAAGGTTTAATTCCAGCTGATAATGTTAAATTTGCCTATGCCAATCCGTTCTCTGTTGATTGTGCCTGTTCTTAGTTTATTTGATCTTACTGTGCCATTTAAAATCCAAATGTTCTGCATAGGCACTATGATATCTAGCTGGCAAAATTCTAAGTTGAAACTGTAATTCCACATGAAACGGAGACTCACCGAATATGGATATTTTTATTTAAGGACACGTTATGTTTGACTTTATTAATTGACTTCAAAAATATTTGGCTCGCGGACGGAAGATTCGGTGTGTCTTCTTATCATGTTAGCCTGCTCTCCCCTCAGACCGCCGATATAAGTGGCGAACATCCGGGTCCGTGAATGGAGGAACGGTGCCCCCCTAATCCTGACATTTTCCAAGGCGTTGCAAATTCGAGAAGGGGGGGGGCACCATTCGACACCAAGCGGCGATGTTCACACAGTATATAGAATAATCTGCTAGATGAGTGGTGCTGTTTTACTAGATCATTCTTTTTCCAAACGCGCATTGGGTCGACAGATATTGCGCATTGTGATTGGCCAACGAATTGCAAACTCTTGGAGGCGCACTATTAGGAATCGCCCGTATTCAAAAAAGAAAGAAAAAAGAATGATCTAGTAAAACAGCACCACTCATCTAGCAGATAATTCTTTATACGGCTGCAATGAATTGTTAATATTCAATACTTTTATTGGGGGGCGGTCCCCAATGGCCCAATCCTCTGGTCAAAATGTAGCGGGGGATACATGCCCAGCGAATGCAAATAAAATTGCCTACGCCTGGATGGATTGTACCGTTGTAGAGTTTTGTGGCCCCTTCAATAGTCTTGGTTCCAGGACGTTCTTAGCGGGGTAATTTACTATAGACGATACAGCCTTTGCACCGCGCAGCGGCATGCACGCCGAATATTGTCCCGGTAGAGGGCGTTCTGTTCAAATCTACAAACCTGACTCGTT